TTTTTTTATTCTCAATTTTTTATACGCAACACTTTTTTTTTTCTAAGAACCTCTAATGACATATACTGAATGTATATATTTCAACCCATAAATTCCATCTTTCATGCATGTTCTACTTAGTGTTGTACTTCTTGAAGCACTCCACATGTAGTGGCACATCACACTTTTCACACGCAAATGATGTGCGTCTGCCACAGTTTCCTGAGTCCCGCAGAGTCCTGCAGCATGTGGACCACACTGTTGCACCTCTGCAACAGTGTGGGACCTGCCTAAGGAAAAAACCACATACATGATTGATTTTTTTTTATTTGGGCCTATTATTTTATGAAAAATGCTTACATAAATAACATACCAGAGGTGAAAGGGAATTTATTTGTGGACTGGTATTCCCTATGTTGTGGGACAGTTTTTTGGCATACACGTGTACTTGTGGGGACCTAATGTTACATATGGGGCTCTGACTGGTATGGGGACCTGAATCTTGTCCCCTTAAGGGGAAACACCGCTGGTGGGTCGGGTTTAAGTTTACGGCTAAGGTGTGAATTGAGTTTAGGTTWGTTTTAGGGTCAGGTAGGTACCTGTGAAGTTAGCTTTAGGGTTGGTGGTCAGGGTTAGGCTGTAGAAAATAATGGAAGTCAATGCCAAGTCCCCATAAAAACAGCTGTGTCAGATTCTGTGGTATCTTTTACAAGCCATACACACAGGCCTTGAATACCTATGGATTTATTTAGCTAGGAAGAGTATCCTAAGAAGGCTAAAATAAGACATTGTACATCATTCTGCAATATGAAATAAGTAAATTAGACACAATCCTGCAGACAGTGTTTTCCTTTAGTTAGCAACAAGCTATTTGCCCATTGGCAACTTTTGTTGCCGCTTACAGAAATAAGCCCATTGACAAAAAAATTTATTCTAGGTACAATTTTTGGGGGGGAGGGTTATTCTAGAGACTTGAAAGATTAAATAATTATAAATATGTCTGGGGGAAAATCAAAAGAGATTTTATGAAATTGACCTCTTTCCAGGATGATTTGTATCTTTCATGTCTTCAGCCGGAAGGAGCGGGAAACATATGATTTCATGCGAGAGGAAGCACTTGGAATTATTTTTTTCAAAATCAAAACCTTTGTCTAAGTTGTCTACTAGTGTATAAGTGGAAAATGTTGCATTAATACCTTTGAGATTTTTTTACTTAGTCAAAAATGACAGTGATACACTTTGGCAACAATTGTTGCCAGTGGGGTAAAATGGGTTAAACTGATGCTACGTTCACACCAAACGCGTTTTGAGCGGCCAAAAAGCGCAAAACGTCTCTCACTGGACGCTCTAGAACGCACCAGTGTTC